GATACAGCCCAAAGAGCTGAAGAATCCACTTCCTGGTCCTCCTAATTTAGCCACATTTAGCCTTTTTATTATTTTATGTTTTCTACCTGTTTTAATTTGTTTTCTTTTTGGATTAGATACTGCAAATACTTGGCAAAAATGTTCAAAAAATACCTAAGGATATTCAGTGAAAAGGAAGTTCCTTTTCTCTCTCTCTCTCTCCTCTAGGTCCCCTCCCTAGAGACATCCACTATTAGGTGTTTCTAGCACATCCTTTTAGGAATATTCTAAGCCTGTATGTACATATCATATGCCCTGTCTCTTCCAAAAGGCAGCATACTCCACACATTTTTTGTTCAATGCTTTTTGCCCCCTTAGTCCTATATTTCCGGGAGGATTTATTGCTGAGATGTGCATCTCAGATTCATACTTTTTCCATGCTGCAGAATATTCCAACTTGAGGCTTAAGCATAATTGATTGAACCTGACCCTACTTAATGAACATTTAAGTGGTTTCCAGTATCTTTTTTTATTACGATTTTTTATTTTAGAGAGAGTATGAGTGGGGGAAAGGGGTACAGGGATCGAGAGAGACAGAGAGAGGCAGAGACAGAGACAGAGAGAATCTTAAGCAGGCTTCATGCTCAGCATGGAGCCCCATTCAGGGCTTGATCTCATGACCCTGGGATCATGCCCTGAGCTGAAATCAAGAGTTGGATGCTCAACCAATTGAGCCACCCAGGCACTCCCAGTATCTTTTTTTTAAAACTGTAAATAATGCTGCAGCATGTATTTTTGTATATGTGTGGAAGTATATCCATACACACCCATTCCTAGCAGTAGAATTGCTGAGTTGAATGAAAAATTTTGATAGACATTAACAAACTGCTCTCCAGAGAGGTTATACATGGTAGGCAGAATAATAGTCCCCAAAGATATCCACATCTTATTTCCTGGAACCTATGAATATGTTACTTTCCATGGCAAACGGGAATTAACATTACAGATGGAATTAAGGTTGCTAATCAAGATCTTAAAATCGGGAAATTATCGGGGCCTCTGAGTGGCTCAGTTGGTTGAGCATCTGGCCCTTGATTTTGGCTCAGGTCATGATCTCATGGCTTGTGGGATTGAGCTGTTCATCAGGCTCTGTGCTAACAGCATGGAGCCTACTTGGGATTCTCTCTCTCTCTCTCTCTCTCTCTCTCTCTCTCCCTCTGTCCCTCCCCTGCTCATGCTCTGTCTCTCTCTCTCTCAAAATAAATAAATAAACATGAAAAAAAAGATAGGAAAATTATTCCGGGTTATCTGGATGGGCCGAGAGTAATCACAAAGATCCCTAAAAGTGGAGGAGAGAACCAGAGAGATGGCAGTGTGAGAAGGATTAGCTCCAAGTTGCTGGCTTTGAAGATGGAGGATGGGAGCTAGGAGACAACGAATGCAGGTGACCCCAGAAGCTGGAAGAACAAGGAAACAAAAAAGGCAAGGAACGCAGCCCTGCTTTTTTAGCTTTGCTTTTAGCCCTGTGAGATCTGTGTTGGATTTCTGACCCACGAAACTAATAATAACAAGTAATAAATTTGTCTTGTTTTAAGTCATTAAGTTTGTGGTTATTTGTTACAATAGCTATAGAAAAGTAATGCATAATATATATTTACACTCCTACCAACATCCATAAGATTAGAGCCTTCTTTTTTTATACATAGTTCCCTTCTCCATATGAATATTCCTTTCTACATTATTTGAGGAATGTTTACGATTCAGTGTAAACGATTTAGATTCATGTGTTTAGTTAAATGGAAAATTGGCAACCATAATTGTCTGACTGTTACACCTTTGTTCTTTGCTAATTAACTCTTTGGAAATTTCCCATTTGGGACATGTGCCTGTTTTTTTTTTGTTGTTTTTTTGTTTTTTTGTTTTTTTTTTGCAGTGGCCAGGATGTGAGCAGGATGTGCTGATGTGTTATTTCTGCAGTGCTGATATCACTGTTGACCAGCCTGCAGTGCAGAAACACTGTGGGAATAGAAGTTGTTCAGTGGGATTTGTTTTTTGCCACCAAGGTGGCAGTCTCGATGATGAACTACTCTGCAAGACGGGCCAAAGGCACTATGTATGATAGAAAGTTCTACATCTCCATGGTAGCTCAGGTGACCACGGTGGGGAAAATTAACAGAGTATAAATATTCCTTATCAACTCAGTTGGTAAGCCTCCACGGCAGAGTAGCAGAAGTAGCTAGCATAATAGAAGGGAAGAATCAATCTTTATTGAGAACCTGCAAAGTGCTAGCTTACAAAGGAGGCACTTGGGTGACTCAATCGGTTATGATCTCACGGTTCAACTTTGGTTCAGGACATGATCTCACAGTTCATGAGTTCGAGCCCCAGGTCGGGTTCTGTACTGGCAGCTCAGAGCCAGGAGCCTGCTTCAGATTCTGTGTCTCCCTCTCTTTCTGCCCCTCCCCTGCTCTCACTGTACCTCCCCACCCATCCCGCTTTCAAAAATAAAGAAAAATTAAAAAAAAAAGTGCTAGCTACAAAGTGCCATTTAGTCTGCCCTGATGTGGTGTTGGTTCCCAAACTCAGAGCTTCCCTGGGTGATATCTGAAATTGGCTCCTAGTTGTGGAGGACAGTGAGAGACTGAAGGAAGAGGCAGGCCACTCAAGATGAGTAGGTGGCAGTTTTAATAAGCAAGGGAACTTACACAGGAGGCTTGTCTTAAGCGGCCACCAGATGAGTAGATATCTGCACCCACCCACCAGAAACTAGAAGTTTATTTAGAAGCTGGAACTGGATTCAGACACATTTACGATCCAGATGGTCTCAACAGCATTTTGCTCTCTCAAGGCCTGTGTTCTTGAAATAACTCCCACTGAGGGAATGATGGGTAGAATGTACATTCCAAGCACAGTGGGGGGGGGGTGCAGAACTTCCAGTTGCCTTGGTCCAGCCTGTGGGTCAACCAGTGGTCACGTCCTCTTGATGACCTCCTCCAACAAGTGGGAACCCCCTTCCCCACGTACGTTGAACCCTACAGACTGCCTTGATCAGCTCTGCATTTAACATCGCTTCAAAGCTATTTATTGAGCATCTGCTAAGCTAGGTATTTCGAATACAAACTCTTAGCCAGGCAAAGCGTGTAGTTTATAGAGAAAAATAACAATCACAGGAACAAATGTGAAACTGCTATTGTAAATATAAATATAAATATAAATATAAATATAAATATAAATATAAATAAAGTAGTGAGATTCCTCCTCATCAGGAGGCCTGGGTGAGATATGTAAATCTGCATACATGTTTTTATCCATACCTATATTGTATGCCACCCTAGGTAAAAGGCACAGATTATGTAAAGGAAAGGACCTGGAAACACTGCATAGCCAGGTAGAGGAAGATGAACAGAGAGAAAGAGTGGCCAGAGAGTTGAAGGGAAACCAGAAAAGGGCTGTATTCTAGGAGCCAAGCAAGGAGAGTCCGATTAAGACTAGTAAGAACACAGGATGGGGCAGTGTGTCTGTAGAAACCAATAAATAGGACTTCTATGCCGCAGGGGCAGTGATGTGGTAGGGCACACCTGGATTCAAGTGTGGCTGTTTCCCTTTAGCCATGTGACCTTGGGGAAAAGGCTGGCCTCAGATCCTGCATCTGTCAAACGGAGAATCTCTTCCTCCAAGAGTTAATGTGGAGATGAAATGAATTAGCGTATGCAATGTGCCTAGCACTTTGCACTTTCTCAAGAAAGATCGATTCCTCCCTTCCTTTGTGTCCCTGTCCACTCATTTATTCATCTATTTCATCTCACTTATTCATCTATCCATCTTATTTATTCATCTGTTTTGGTTGTTACTCTCCATGATGACTTAGCATTGGTGGTGGTAACTTACCTGTGAGGGTCAACACAGTTCATGTTCCTGTGTATCCCTGCTCTTGTCTGGGTGCCGGCACGCTGTCGTGAGTCAACAAATCAGTTCTCCGGATGTTGCAGGGGGCCAAGCATGCACCTGTGTTTCTCTCGGTATGCAGACAGACAGAGCAACAAAGATCGGATAAGGACATAATATACCTTCCTTCATCATACTGAGCCTTTCTGTTCCTGGGAAAGGAACTCTGGTTCCCAAAGAATGCCTAATTCTTGTCACAGAATACTTGGATTTCTGCAGTGGCATAAATCTCCAAAAGGTTAGTAATAAATGACTCATCACAATTTAAGATTTCTTTCCAGAGACAGCACTGGCCCTCCCAGATTTTTCAGATTGGCTAGAAGCAGTCACTCCCGCCTCCTTTCCTGTCTTTTTGTCTGTTAAATACAGTGAATGGACAAAAAGCAATTTCCCCTACTGGTGAAAAACTTTTTCTCTGCCTGTCCCCTCTGATGGTTTTTACAGTGTGGCCCTGCCTTTGGCAACCATCGTAACTACTCACTGGGAGATAATGTAACTCCCTGCTTGCTCCCGGTTAAGTAAACGCCAGAAAAGAGAGACTGACAAATATTTCTACTGTGGCTAACGTGGAAACCAAACGTTTAAATCTCTTTCGGAATTATCCTTGTATTTCCAATAAGCAACATGTTAATTTCTTGTTATTGAAGGGGGCCATGTTTTCCAAACCAAACATAAGGACATAACATTTCGTAAGCAAGAGAGTACCTTTAGGGACAGGCTATTATATTAATTGAACTGTTAAAGAAATTCTGGGGCTTGGCGGTCTTACAGCTACTAAAAGCGGGTAGCACTTAAATGATAACGGAGCTCATGATCATATTCCCCTTTCAGAATGGACTCTGTGAACATTTTAACATAGCAATGGGGGCCATAAAGAGAGGTGATGGAGAGGGTTGGGGGAAAGGAAACTGGAGCTCTTTCAGCAGCTCAGGATCCAGCCGCCAAGCTTGCACCTGCTGGGGCTCGCGCACAGCCTGGGAAGCCCACCTCGGGCGCGCGCCGCGTTCCCAGTGGGACAGCCGGGGGCGCGCACGCCTGCGCAGAGCCTCGCTGGCGCGTTCCAAGTGGAAGGCTGCGAGTTTGAGCGTTCATGGCAACGCGACGCTTCCGCCTTCTGGAAGCCTTGGCTCCAGCTCGCGCAGTGTGAGACCCATCCCGGTGGGAGGGACCTGGGCTGGGGCGGAGGGCGGGGGGACGGATGGCGAGACCAGGGGATAAAGGGCCTGGGGAAGCTGCTGCGAACGTTTGCCCTAGGGATTGAGCTAAACCAAGAAAAATTGGCCCAGGGCTGAGCACAAAAGGATCTTTTCATTCCAGTGCTTTTCGCCCACACAGGGGACCATGCCTCTGGAGGTGGTGGTGGAACTCCAGATCCGGGCGGTAAGAGAAGTCGACCGACCTCCACTCCTTGCCCCAAATCACACTCTCTGCCCAGGGTTCCTAAATGGTCTTGATCATTTTCACCACCTCCTACCCACCTCACCACACACATCATTGTCTTTGGGGACAGATCATACCTCTCAGTCCTTAAGATCCTCTACATTGGTTCTTTCCTGATTTCTCAACTCTTAATTCAGCCCAGCCCCTTCCAACTCCCCCCGCCCCAACGACTTGTTAGCTTTATCCTAAATTTTTCTGTTACTTTAAAATAATGGGGGCGCCTGGGTGGCTCAGTTGGTTGTGTCTGACTTTTGATTTCCACCGAGGTCATGATCCCAGGGTCATGGGATGGAGTCCCTCATAGGCTCTGTGCTCAGCGAGGAGCCTGCTTCAGATTCTCTTTCTCCCTCTACCCCTCTCCCCTACTTGAGTACACTCTCTAAAAAAAAAAAAAAAAAAAAAAAATTTTAAAAATAGCCTTGCATTAAGTCCAAGAAGAATTTTATTTTTTTCCAGGATAAAGATTTGTGAAATAATTAAAAAAAAAACAAACAACACCCTTCTTTAAATAACAAGGGAAGAGTTTAATTCCATAAAGCCCAATGACTTCCTGATAATTTGCCACCTCTATGAACCAATTGAATATATTCTAAGGTATTTCCCCTAGAGATGGCTCTGGCTTGCTAATTCCAAAAGGGAAGTAAATCAACCAACACTTGTTTTATAATTGTCCACTGAATCCTGCTCAAGTGAGGTGCTTGTGGCAGAGTGACTGCATTGTTCCTGTTTGGGATCAGGCATTTCTTTTAATTCAGCTTATATTTTCCAATCCTTCCATCTGTAGTTGGTGACAGACTGTCATACAGCTTTGCCTGTCAGCTGTAGGGGCGTCTGTACTGGCCGTGAGTACAAGCGAAATGCCGACAGGTTACGGCCATGGAAGATCTGTCAGCCTCCGTACAAGTGACAAGTGCTGTGCTTTCATCAGACATGCAGTTCTGAAAGATAAAAATTTCCTGGATTTGTCCCATTTTGCTAACAGCAAATAGGACCACACTCTATCAGTTGTGCTCCATCAAATGCCAACTCTCAAAATTCTGCAGTAAGAGGAAGGAATTCTTGAGGAGCTGAGTGATAAATCAGTCTTCCTGCTCATCAAGGCAAAGATTAAACCAGTTTGCATCTCGCTCCATTCAGACATTATTGGTTTATTTTATTTTAAGTTTTAAAAAGCATTCCTCAGTGCACGATTACAGTAAAATCAGTTTTCTAGTCTACAGTACTTAGAGTGCTTCAGAAACATCAGCTGAATTGATCTGTGCTTTAAAAGCCTGCAAAGTCAGGTCTGAACAACTAAGATGTGGGATTCCAGGGACCAGAAGAGAAGCCTAGTGTTGAGCCCCCAATATTCAGACTTGTGAACACTGCAAAGGCAATAAATGTCATTGCTTCCAAAAATAGCTGGCCCGAATACTGCTGGATTAAAACAAAGATCTCTCTAAGGTTAAACAATTAAGCAGACCACTAGAGCTTTACAGTTGGGCTGATTCAGCGAGAGAAGAGGTAGTCCATGTTGGAAGATGTTGTGGGGATGCAAATTACTTTATTTTACTTTGAGGAGTTCCTCTTTCAGTGTGCCTCTCACGCTCAGGAAGTTCACACTTCCACCCAATCAGAACCTACTTGTCACGCTATTCTCCAGATTCTAGTGTTCACCTCTATTTGGCAGATCAAAGGCCATAATCCTTTCTCTTTATAAATGTCAAAATAATTCCTCATTCTCTGAAAACACCAGTTCCACGGGTAATTTAAAGGTTCTGATTTTTCAGGGAGAACAGCATTTAAAGCACATTCCGTTTTGTGGTCTTTCCTGGTCAAAGAATAATGAGCAGAGTCCATCCTGCGTTTGGTGGTCTTTGGTCTTGTGATTTGGGGAGGCACCACGGATAAACCGATTTAAATGTAAAGGTCACCATAAAGGGAAATTTAGGAGTTAGTTATACCTTGAGCCTGGTATAGCAGTGGGTTCCCCTGATGAGTTTCAAGTTGAATACTGTTACCTAAAGTGTGCTGTGCACAGGGAAATGGGATTCTGTACGAAAAACCGTAGTATACAGGGTCATCCCTGTGGTACATATGAGAAAGCTTATGCCCTTGCACTGCAAAGAATCAAGTCATTTCCTATTTTATTACCTACGTAGAGAAGCATCATTCTTTATTAGTAGAGATAGTGGGCAGCACAGTCCCATCTCCTTCCATACTGGCCCACTGCCATCACATGTGGTAAGCTCACCCCCAGACTCTTAGTTCCTGACGTCCTCAATGGGTATTTCTGCCCTCTGTCATGCCATGCTATTTGTTGTCAATAGAATCAAGCATTTGGTCATGGTCCCAGTCTTTCTCCACTGGCACTGTAGATATGCCCATATCTACATTAAGTGCTGCTTCTTCAAGGAAGTTCTTGGCTTGTTCTCTGAATGCAAAAAGATAACATGAGAGAGTACTGGGAGATATATATCTATTTAAAGAACTTTTGAGAAGGTAGAGGGAAAGGAAAGAAAGATATATACTATAATCTCTCTTCTCGCTACCCAATCCACAAAGAGGGAAGAGACAATAAACAAAAAAAGCTTATCAAGAAAATCGGGATTAAGAAGACACTGTGGCAACAGATTTTCAGGGAATCAGCGAGAAAAACTCATGCCTTAGACTCTTAAACTACTGTCTACAATCTACCTCAGGAGAAGAACCAGGCTTAGTCGGTGGCTCATCTGCATGTACATTTACAGAATGCAGACCATGTTTTGCTTTTTTCCCCCAAGTTCACTTTACAGGCGATATGTTGACTTACAGGATAACTACAAAACACAAAATTTACTGATGTCAACTTTTAAAAAACAGCAGTATTATAATCACCCCAGCTTGTTTTCTTTGCAGTTGTTCTGGAGATACAAACAGTTGTTGAATAAATATGTAATAGAGAGATTTTTTTTTTTTTTTTTTTTTGCTTTCCATAATATGGCTGTGGTCCAATGGCCAGCACGTTCTCCGGCCTAGCAAGCCATCAAGATGGAATGACACCTGAAATTTCAAAGGAAGCCTGAAATGTCCTTAGAGGGCCGAGCAGGAGTGCGGCTGGTTTTTGTCAGCATGGTCGCATGTGGAAACCTTCAGATCTCCTGGTGCCATATGAATGAGATGGTGTCATTGTTGGTTCCATAGTAGGAAGAGGACCGGGGCATTGTGCGGTGAAAGCCAGCAATAGTCCACGATGCTGTACTGAGTGTAGCCCAGAAAAAAGCCAAAAGCCACGTCGGTGACGTTGTGCCGCCCCAGCATGACCCTGGAGAGGCCCAAGATGAAGGCCCATAGTACCACGAGCACCCTCAGCGGAATGGCCAGCACCAAGTGGTTCAGGATGAACCGGGACACCAGGGCGGCCCTGGTGGCGTGGCCCGAGGGGAAGGAGTATTTGTCTACCGAAAGGGTGACAAACATGTCCATCTGGTTGTGGGCCGGGCGGCGCCTGCGGACCAGCCCCTTGATCAGGGCCACCAGCAGCAGGTCCAACAACAGGGCAAAGAGCAGGTTCATGAGCACCTCGCGCCCGGCCCAGCTGTCGCTCCTGGATAGGCAGTAGAGGGTCCCCAGCAGCCAGGGGATGCCGTGGCCCGAGATCTCCAGCAGCTTCATAAGGGGCCGCATGCTACCCCAGGACGAGCTCTCCCCGGCGCACACTCCCAGCTTCTTGGACAGCCACAGGTCGATGGCCAGCAGGGAGCGCAGGGCGATGCCCAGGAACGACGGGTTCAGGTCCATGCGGTCCTCCTCGGGGAGCGGGGCCGGGGGCGCCTGCGAGGGGCCCGCCCCGGCCAGGGGGAAGGAGCCGCGGCGGTGCACCGGGCTCTCGGACGCGCGGAGCCGGGTGCAGGTGGGGTCCAAGCCCGGCGCGCGGCTGCTAAGCAGGGACTGGAACTCGAACCTGCCGCCGCCGCCGCCGCCGCCGCCGCCGTGGGCCGGGCTGCCGGGGCCGCCGCTGCTGCTCGAGGCGGAGGCGGCCAGCGGGCGTGCGTCCACGTTCCTGCGGGGGCTCGGCATCGCGGCGGGGGGCCCGGACCCCAGGACCCGACCGGCCTACCGAGCGGCTCCCGACCCTGCAGCCTCTTCCGCTTCCGCATTACCATCCCCGCGAGGGCGGGGAGAAGGGCCGGCGAGAGGACGATTGTGACACCTGGCGGAGACGTGGGAGGAGACTGGCGTTTCCACTTGGGGAAGGGGGGGACGGGGCAAGGAAGGTGGAGGTGTGGGAGATGGCGGGGCGGCGAATTCCACCGCGTCCGTGGGAGCCTAGGGAACGCAGCTCCACTTCAAACACGAAACAAACCAAGCCCTGTTCTCTACTCTCTTGTTTTTAAGATTTCTTGTCCAGGAGTGTTCCTTCCCGACAAGCAAGATGTGTACCTTGGGGTGTACCTCCTGAATCAGTACCTGGAGACAGACTGCTTTCCCTCTGTGTTCCCTATTATGATTCAGCAGAGCATGAGGTTTGAAAAGGTGATCTTGACTTTCTCATTGCTAAACGGAGAAATGTATATGTTGCTGTCTGAAGATCCTCTAATGGTTCTTAAAAAGAACGCGGTTCTTAAAAAGTTACTTGGTACATTTTCTTTAAAAAATGGCTTGAAGCGGCCTCAGGACACCGTAGTTGGAGGAATAGCTTTTACATTGTAGGTCTGAGCCAAGTGCTGTCAACCTAGTGCTAAATACCCTGGTGGATGTTTTCTATTCTTGGAACTCCCATGGCATTTTTCTAACTGGAGCAGAGAGAGCATTTTCTCAAAGTTCCTGGAGGTGTTAGAGGCAGTTGCCAGGGATTGTCAGTAAATTATGGACCTTAGAAACAAACTGGTAGACTCAGAGAAATAATGAAAAAAAAACAAAAACAAAAACAAAAAACAAAAACTAGATTCAAATCAGTAAAACCCTGTACCTGAAATCCTGTAACAAAACAAGCCTCTTCAGATTTACTGAGTATTCTTAGGCCATACCTGGTTTATTTAGCTACAGCGATAAAGACTAGGTTTCATTCCTACGAATAGGAACATGATATTAATAGAACATTTATCAACCTGCTTCCCGTTTCAATTTAGAATATGAAGTTCATTACTATGACTCATTGGCGGTCCTTTGAAGTTTTTGTTTTGGAATTTGTTTTGAAATCAGTTTTAACCTTGATGAGTCTAATGATTTCCCTTCAAAATGATATCACCGAGCTGCTTCTTTGGGAGAGGGGACAAATCCGGGAAGGGCTCCAGGGTGGAGCCTATCACTTTTATCTTCAGTTTTTTTTTTAACGTTTATTTATTTTTGAGACAGAGACAGAGCATGAATGGGGGGAGGGTCAGAGAGAGAGGGAGACACAGAATCGGAAGCATGGAGCCTATTACTTTTAAAGGTCTGGATGGTGCTGCCCAGAAAATGACATGTTTTGAACGGAGAATGGGCGATGAGATGAGGGTTGGTTTTCCAACAGGCTAGAGCTGTAGATAATATGTTTGTACATTACAGCTTGTTTATTTAAACAGAGTCTACCAAACTGGTTAGATCAGAGAGGAGAAGAATAAATGGCTATTACCTTGGGACATACAGTCAGAATCGAAAGAAACCTACTTCTACTAGATATTAGTAGTGGTAAGAAGTGAGTGGTGAAAATCCAGTCTATGTTTTCCCCTAAGAATTTCCTTTTTAATTTATCAAGTTTGCTTCTGTGGAAGACTTTAGAAATCTTTTTATAAGAAACCCAAGGGTACAAAGTCAAAGAAGCACAGAATGATAATTCTGTAAATGAACTTGGAGGTCACCAAGTCCAACATCCCTGATGTGTAGAAAAGGAAGGAGAGACTCACACATACTCTAGATGCCCCGCTGCTCTCTTGCAAAACTGTGCATTTAAGGTTGCTGGTGAAACATGTATCATGGGCCATTTTTCTTTTTATAAAATGTGGCTATTTAAAAATCTGAAATACTACCCTCATGTGTGAGCGGTTTGGGTTCATATTCCAGCTTTCTCCATTCGGCTCTAGTGTTCTTGGATTTGTTCTATTCTCCAGCTGCGAATGCGTGCAGCAAGTATCAAAATCATTTTCTCGTCTCTGGACCTTCTGTGTAACCCAGAATTGAACGCCCTAAAACAATTGGATAAATAAACTGTTCATAACGAACGTATGAGACATTGTGTTTGAACAGTTCATGTTGATCATTTACTCCCCAGGGTCATACTTGAGAAAATCCTTAAACATGGATGAAGTGAAGGGATGCCATTACTGAAATATTTTAGGGGGAAAAAAAACCCTCACCCACATTTGCCCTGATACATCTAGGTCAGGAAGGCAAAAACGGATTGCAGGGGATAGCCTCCACTTTTGTAGTTAAAGCAGACCTGGCTTTAGATCAAGAGCAGATTTTAACCATGCTTACGTTTAAATACCATTTAAATCAGAACATTAATGCCTGAAACCAACCTCTGGTGAAAACTTTGGTTTCATGCAGGCTTCCAGAGTTCAGGGAGACCGGTGTGGTGTACTTTCAATTTCAGTCCTGTCCCAGACCCTTTTAGCTCAAGGACAAAATAAGCAGATTTGGCATTGGCTAGGCAGATATCACAACGTTTGTCTTGTGCTTCATGATATACTTTAAACTTATGAGGCTCTCCCTCTCTCTAGTTATTTTGTTCTGTAGGAGGGTGCGTAGGTTTTCTTTTGTGTTGCACATAGAATTTGTACTGAGGTTCCTGTTTAGCACAACCAATTGTTAGAGTCGTTTATTCAGTTAACATCATTTAATGAGTGTCCGTGGTACGCAGAATGTTTTTCTAGGTACTCAAGCAAGACTCTTTGAGGTTGATGCCAGATGTGCTTTTAGCAACAAACTATAAGACTAGGTCAAGTTGATGACATTTTGGGCATGGGGTAGAGTCAGCTAACTCAGATTTTCCTTGTACTTGGTATTGCATTTATTCTCATTCTATAGTCATTTGTTGAACTTTTAGCCGCATACACGTTAAAGATACTCCTGTTGAATTTTTAAAATACTGTATGGCTGGAATTGACATGTGTTAATTGTTTGGAAAGATAAAACCTACAGTTTCTATAAGCATATATTAATCTTTGAAAATTTATTTTCACCATTTTTTTTTCCTGCAGGTATTTGAAAATGCAATAGATCCTGGGGCTGTAGCAGAAATTTTAGAAAGTAAGTGCTCTTAAAACAAAGCAGAACAACTATTGGGTGTACGTAATTGTGTGTGCAGATATAAAATTCTGTATTCTAATTCTGTATTGTGATATTTTCATTTTGATCCATACTTATATTCAAGACTCTGTGTCAAATTTGAATCATGGTTTTGATTCTATTACAAACCCTTTTCTAGATAGAGATGGGATTTATTTGATGGTACACTTCTGTTTGTTTATATATTATAATTAAATGGTTTTTGTATCTTCATACAGTTATGTAACCATCATAATTTTTAAAAATTAATTAATTAATTAATATTTAAATTTACATCTAAGTTCGTTAGCATATAGTGCAACAATGATTTCAGGAATAGATTCCTTAGTGCCCCTAACCCATTTAGCCCATCCCCCCCCACAACCCCTCCAGCAACCCTCTGTTTGTTCTCCATATTTAAGAGTTTCTAACATTTTGTCCCCCTCCCTGTTTTTATAATATTTTTGCTTCCATTCCCTTATGTTTATCTGTTTTGTATCTTAAAGTATTCATATGATATTTGTCTTTCTCTGACTGATTTCACTTAGCATCATACCCTCCAGTTCCATCCACATGGTTGCAAATGCAAGATTTCATTCTTTTTGATCCACTCATCCATCAATGGACATTTGGGCTATTTCCATACTTTGGCTATTGTCGATAGCGCTGCTATAAACACGGGGGTGCATGTGCCCCTTTGAAACAGCATACCTGTATCCCTTGGATAAATACCTCGTAGTGCAGTTGCTGAGTCGTAGGGTAGTTCTGTTTTTATTTATTTATTAAAAAAAATTTTTTTTAACGTTTTTATTTATTTTTGAGACAGAGAGAGACAGAGCATGAACAGGGAAGGGGCAGAAAGAGAGGGAGACACAGAATCGGAAGCAGGCTCCAGGCTCTGAGCCATCAGCCCAGAGCCCGACGCGGGGCTCGAACTCACGGACCGCGAGATCGTGACCTGAGCTGAAGTCGGACGCTTAACCGACTGAGCCACCCAGGCACCCCGCTAATTCTGTTTTTAAATTTTTGAGTAAACTCCATACTCTTTTCCAGAGTGGCTGCACCAGTTTGCAACCATCACCATAATTAATTTTAGGGTATTTTTATCACCATAGAAAGAAACCCTAAACCCATTCTTCCTTATCACTCCTAGCCCTAGGGCACTGCTAACCAATATTTCTGTCTCTATAGATTTGCTTATGCTGGATATTTCATATAAATGGAGTTATATAATATGTGGTCCTTTGTGACTGGCTTCTTTCACTCAGCATGTTTTCAAGATTCATCTTTGCTACAGCATGTGTCAGTATTTCATTTCTTTCTGGGGCAAAGTAGTGTTCCATGGTATGGCTGTGCCACATTTTGTTTATTCATTTAGTGGTTGAGGGACATTTGGGTTTTCTTCATGTTTGGGCTATGATGAATAACGTTGCTGTGAATATTTGTCTACAAGTGTTTTTGTGGACATGTGTTTCCATTTCTCTTGGGTCTATACCTCAGAGTGGAAGTGTTGGGTCGTATGGTAATTCTTTTTAATTTTTGGAGAAACTTCACCAAAGCAACTGTATCATTTTACATTCCACCAGCAATGCATGAGGGATCCATTTCTCCACATCCTCGTCAACACTTGTTACTTGTCCTGTTGATCGGTGGCCATTCTTGTGGGTATGAGTGAAATCTCATTGTGGTTTTGATGATTTTGAGCATTTTTTCATGTGCTTACTGGCTGTTTGTATATGTTATTTGGAGAAATGTGTGTTCAGAGCTTTTGCTTATATTTTAATGGGGTTATTTGACTTTTTATTATTGAGTTGTAATATATTATGAACTTGTAATGTATTGAATTCTTTGTATATTGTAGATGCAAGTCCCATAGCAGATGTATGATAGATACTTTCTTCCATTCTTTGGATTATCTTTTCATTTTCTTGATGGTGTTCTTTGAAACACAAAAATTTTTAATTTTGATGAATTCTGTTTTATTCATTTTTCTTTTTTTACTTGAGCTTTTGATGTCATAACTAAGAAACCATTACATAATTTAAGTCACAAAGATTTTTGTCTGTGTTTTCTTCAGAGAGTTTTATAGTTTTAGCTTTTACATTTAAGCCTATGACACATATTAAGTTTATTTTTGTAAATAGCATGAGGTAGGGGTCCAGCTTCATTCTTTTGCATCTGGGTATCCAGTTGTCCTGGTCTCATTTGTTGATAAGAGTATTTTCCCCCCATTGAATAGTCCGGATACGTTTGTTGAAAATCAATTGACTGTAAATATGAGGGTTTTTTTTGGATTCTCAATTGTATTCTGTGGATCCATATATCTATCATTATGCCTGTAACACACAGTCTTGATTATTGTAACTTTGTGAGTAAGGTTTGAAATCAGGAAATGTGAGTCCTCCACCTTAGTTCTTCATTCCAAGGCAGTTTTTGCTCTTTGGATTCTCTTGTATTTCCATATGAATTTTAGGATCAGCTTGTCTGTTTCTGCAAAGGAGCCAACTAGGATGTTGATAGGGGTTGCCTTGAACCTGTAGATCAATTTGAGGAATGTTTCCATCTGAACAATATCAAGTCTTCCAGTCCATGAACATGGGATATAGTGAGAATTCACTGAATGTAAGGGATTTAGAGCCTGAGACAAATGGAGGGCTTCACATTCCCATTGTCCTACTTGGAAAACCTAAAATTACAAACTGTCTTAACTGTCAGTTTCTTGGCATTTAAAATTCTGTCCTCATGCATCCACATGCTTTTCATAAGTCTGCAGAGGGAGAATTTTACTTTTCTTGTATACAGACTTCTAGCTGTTTTGAGACATAATTGACATATCACATTATGTAAGTGTAAGGTATACAACATGAGGATTTGATACACTTAGATATTGCAAAATGATTACCACAGCATGAGCTAACACATTCATCCCATCATGTAACTGCCATCTCTTTCTTGTGGTGAGAACATTTAAGACCTACCCTCTTAGCAACTTTCAAATATATAATATGGATTAGTAACTATAATCGTCTATGATTGCCACCGTTATTGTCTATTTTTAAATGTATTCACTTCTATAATTTGGGGGAATTATCTTTATTGATTTTTTATTGTTATACCATTTATGTTTAAGTTACTTTCAGATTTGAATTTTACTCTTGTCCTTATAGATTTTGTACATGGGCTCACTATTTGTAAATATACTTTGGGCTCAGGAAGTATAAAAAATGTTATATTTTATGTTTCATTTATATTGTCAGAGAGCATACTCTTTTAAGCAAGATAAACTTGTACAGGTTGATGGACAAGAGTTGGATTTTGAATTTTTAAAATGAGAATCTGATTTTTATGTCAGTGATTTATGGATACGTTTTTAAGGCAAAATATTACATCCATGTCATCAATACTTCTTAGGGCACAAAATGTTATTTTTATAACTTAGTTACTCCCACTCTATGCCCTTGGATTACTGGGTCCAGAAATACCTGAATCCTTGTTGATATGGCATTATTATTATTATTATTATTATTATTATTATAAATGGAATGTTATGGCAGTTTGGAACTTAGCAATTATGAAAAACTCTCTCATTTTTTCTATTTTAGGCTTCCTAACCAGGTTTGAATTAATACAGCTAGTATCTCCAGGTAATGTGCCCATAAATGCATTTCTAAATCAGTTTATTTTAATTTTGAAGGGATTTTGGCACGACAGAATGGGGACTGGTATATACAAGTTGTGCTTTCTAGAACACTCACTTTCCCCCCGACCAGTCTGTTGAATTTTACCAATTCTCACAGAAGTAACTTTATGGGTCTGGTGGCAGTAAGCATAACTTAAAGGCGCTTTGGCTTTCCATTTTTTTCATGACTTTAATTCTCACCATATAAGAAAAGCTTGGCTCAGTTTTTTTCAAGTTTTTGCCTTCGGCTTTGTTGGCGAACCCAAAACTATCTTCTGTGTTAGATGCCAGAACAGGTTTGGTAAACTGTAGGCCAGTCCAGCCTGCAGTTTGTTTTGTGTGACTCGTGAGATAAAGTTCTATTTTTTTTTTTAAATTGAGATTCATATACTGGGTATTTAATTCATATACTATAAACCTCTCCATTGCAAGTGTACAACTCAGTTGTTTAAGCATCTTCACAAATGTCTGCAACCATCACCACCATCTTATTCCAGAACCTTTTTCTTATCTGGAAAAAACAAACAAACAAACAAACAAACCACTGTAGTCCTTAATAGTCACTCTTTATTCCCTCTTCCCACAGCCCTGGCCACCACTAGTCTACTTTCTCTATGGCTGTGCCTCTTCTGGACATTTAGTGTAAATGGAACCAGACAATATGTAGCCTTTGGTGTCTGGCTTCTTCCATGTGGCATGTTTTCAAGATTCACCCAGGTTGTAGCCTGTTATCGTTACTTTGTTCCTTGTCCGGATGCATAATGTGCTTTTATAGGATACGCCTAGTTTGTTTACCCGTTCGTTGGTTCGTCGATGGACGTTTGAGTTGTTTCCACTTTTTGCATATCATGAATGACACTGCTATCAACATTCATGTACAAGTTGTTGTGTGAGTACATGTTTTCAATTCTCTTGGGTTCATACCTAGGAGCAGAGTTTCTGTATCCTATGGTACCTCCACGTTTAACTTTTTAAGGAACTGCCAAACTGTCTTCCATTCTGGCCGTTTTGAAGGGTTGGCAAAAAATTTTAAAACATGCATATTTTGTGATATGAAAATTATATAAAATTATATAAAATCCACATTTCATCATCCATAAAGTTTTATTGGAACACGGCCATGCTTCATTTATTGTCTGTGGCTGACTTTGTTTATGCTGGAGTTGAGTAGTTAAGACCGCATGGCTTGCAAAGCTTAAAATATTTACTCTCTGACCCTTTTACGGAAGCAGTTCTTGCCAGAATCATGGGACTTTAGGAGGAAACCATTCTGTGGTGCCTCTGCTTCCTGTGTGTCTCGAATGGCAGGGCACCTGAGCTAAACTTCTGCATGGTGGCATCAGTTCTCTTACGTGGTTTCTCATGTGGCTGGTTACCTGGTGATTTTAGTCGTGTGTGTGTGTGTGTGTGTGTGTGTGTGTGTGTGTGTGTGTGAGAGAGAGAGAGAGAGAGAGAGAGAGAGAGAGAGATAATATTTAAAACTCAGGGGGCACCTGGATGGCTCAGTCGGTTAAGTGTCTGACTACAGCTCAGGTCATGATCTCATGGTTCATGAGTTCGAGCCCTGCGTCAGGCTCCGTGCTGACAGCTCGGAGCCTGGAGCCTGCTTTGGATTCTGTGTCTCTCTCTCTCTTTGCCCCTCCTTCCCTTGTTCACTCTCTCTCTCAAAAAGAAATAAACATTAAAACTCAGAAACATTTAGAATTCTTTTTTGATTTTTGCTGTTACTGGTTTTTGCCTTTTCTCTTCCCAAGATGAAAATAGCTTTATGGTTTTTAGTTGCTGCAAAAAGCATTCCCAAATGATGAGAAAACCTCTATTTATAATTTGGTGAACATGTTTCTTGATATTTGTCTGTGGACAGAACACCTAGATATGGAATTTCTACATAATAGTGTCACATACATTTTCTTCTCTTATTGGCTTCCCCCCGTCAAATATCACTGTTGTGTTGTCATTTCTAAAAGCCTAGAGGTACCTCATTCTTTTTAACGGTAATAAAGAATTCCGTTAATTTACTTATGTGTCCTTAAAAGTCTCTAAACAGTAGGGACATAATATTTGGGGTTTTTTGACTGTACGTTGTTGTCTGTAGTTTGTCTTTTTTCAATAGCTATGTGTTTTTCCAGAATATTCTAATTATCCTTAAATTGATATTGTTGAACATGTAGGTTTTCCTTGTCTTTCACATATTTATAAAAATTATCTTTTTCTCCGGGCTCTTGGATGGCTTAGTCAATTAAGCCTCTGACTTCGGGTCAGGTCGCGATCTCATGGTGAGTTCGAGCCCCACATTGGACTCTCTGTTATCAGCGCAGAGCCTGCTTCGGATCCTCTGTCCCCCTCTCTTTTTGTTCCTCCCCTGGTTGCACTCATTCTCTCTCAAAAGTAAAAATAAAAGGTTAATTTTTTCTCTTGGTATATTTGTAAGGAATAGAGTGACGGTGGTCCCCCCATGTCTGGTGTTTTGCTTCTTGTAGTTTCGGTTACCCGCCATAACCATGGTCTGCAAGCAGATGATCCTCCTTCTGACCTTGTCAGAAGGTCAGAAGTAGCCTAACACTGAATCGTGACTACTCGGTCACTCACCTTGTGCCATTTCATCACGTAGGCAGTTTTTCAAATCCAAATCACATTATCACAAGGGTGAGTACAGGACAATAAGATGTTTCGCAAGAGCCAGCCGGGTAGCTCAGTCGGTGACGTGTCCGACTTCAGCTCAAGTCATGATCTCACGGTTTTTGAGTTCCAGCCCCACATCGGGCTCCGGGCTGACGGCTCAGAGCCCACTTCGGATCCTCTAGTCCTCCTTACTCTCTCTCTCTCCCCCTGCACTCTTTCTCCCAAATAAACATTTAAAAAAAGATATTTCGCTAGAGATTACAGTGTGTTGTTCTGATTATTCCATTTTATTACTAGTTATTGTTGTGAATCTCTAACTATGCCTAACTTATACATTCAACTTTATCATAGGTATGTATGTATAGGAAAAAACATAGTGTATGTAGGATTCAATACTGTCTGCTGAGGGGGCCTTGGTATATAATTCCCCATGGATAAGCGGGGACTCGACTAAACCATCCATCCATATCTGTAACGGGGAAGTAAACCAATTGCCAGCAAGCTTCCATTATTACTGTGTTCAGCAGTGTGTATACACAGGTCCATTGCCCATATCCTAGCTAATGCTGGATATTAACGTTTGAATTAATCATGTTTGCAAAGTATATAATAATTTCTTTAAAGTATATTGTACTATATTTTCTGGCCTCTTCTTTTTTGCAGACATGATTTGTGACAACCTCAAATTTAAAATTTACTTCTTTTTTTTTTCCAATGTTTATTTATTTTTGGGACAGAGAGAGCAGAGCATGAACGGGGGAGGGGCAGAGAGAGAGGGAGACACAGAATCGGAAACAGGCTCCAGGCTCTGAGCCATCAGCCCAGAGCCTGACGCGGGGCTCGAACTCACGGACCGCGAGATCGTGACCTGGCTGAAGTCGGACGCTTAACCGACTGCGCCACCCAGGTGCCCCTAAAATTTACTTCTTAAAATATTTCCATTTTCCCATGATTTGTTTTCTTTCTTTTCCTCTGTACAACGTGACTTTCAGTGCCCCGTGGTTACTTGTGGAGTGATGTCTGGATGTTAACACTGCATTTGGTATAACTTCCTGATATTTTTACCAAAGTTTTTAATAAGTTATGCTTACTGTGTATGGATTCCCCTGTTTTATTGTATGTTCTGATACGTTATTGTTTGAATTTTTCTTCTTTTAAAAAGACTTTTTTTTTAATGTTTATTTTTGAAGGAGAGAGAGACAGAGTGTGAGTGGGGGCTGGGGGGAGGCAGAGAGAGAAGGAGACACAGAATCCGAAGCAGGCTCCAGGCTCTGAGCTATCAGCACAGAGCCCGACGCGGGGATCAAACAAACCCACAAACCGCGAGATCATGACCTGAGCCGCCGTCAGACGCTCAACCGACTGAGCCACCCAGGCGCCCCTTTTTCTTCTTCTTAAGAAAGCATGAAGGAAGGAGGGTGAGCCTGGCAGATTCCTGAGCTAAAGCAGAGGTGGCTGTGGAGGCTTTTAAGAGGATCGCAGTTGTGCCTGGTGTGGCCCTGCCTGTGGGGGGTCAAGGCCCCAAGGGATGGAGGGGACCCAGAAATCTGTAGCTCTTCTGGCAGAGGAGGCCTCGAAACAGAGAAGTACCCCACTCTCTGTGGATTTAAGGACGGGTACCCTCGTATGTGTTAGGGCTTTCTTAGGTAGACAGAAGAGAAGGAAGGCCAGTGGTGCCTCTTCCTGGCTTTCCAGAAATTCTTACTGAATATTTTTCAGCCTAAAAGGGACAGGCTAAAATCAGGGCATTGAATTTTTTTTCCACGGTTTTTTTTTTTCCCTTATTTGACCTAGTTTTATGTTCAAACATATATCAATGCTAACTGGCAAGTTATACTTCAGTATGTTAATAAAATAGAAGCAGACTCATTTTGGTCTTATTTAATTCTACACGAATTAAAAAAAAAAATAACCCAATACCTACATACTCTCACTGCAAAAATTAAACTAACACAAAGTTATATAAAATAAAAAGTCAAAAGCCACATTCGTCAACAGCTCCTGACAACAATTACTAATAATTTTATTTTCAGATGTTTTAAAATGCATTTAGTATATGTAATGCATTTAAAACCTAAAATACATACATGCATATATATACATACATATACATACATGTGCTATATATATCTAGTATTTATCATATGTATGTTTAGTATACATATTGGTTGAATATACATATTCTGCAGCTTGCTTTTTAAAGTTTAATATATCTTAGATTGCCATATGTTCTTTTTTTTTCATTTCGAGAGACAGAGAGAGAGCATGAGCAGGGGAGAGGGGCAGAGAGAGAGGGAGAGATCAAGCAGACTCCTCGCTCAGCATGGAGTCTGACATGGGGCT